GAGAGAGAGGGATTCTGGGGTGACAGGAAATAGAAGTGAGGTAGCGGCTCGAGGAAGAGGCCGTGTTCGCTGTTTAGTAACGTATAACATGATACGGGTGTGTCTGCTCATTAGGTTTGGGTTAGAAAGTGTGAAATTAATAACGAGTGATGTTATTTCTAATACATAAATGAACAGCAGTTTATTATATTGATCAATGAATAGAGGTTATTCTAATTTCATTAAATGTGACATAGTTGTCTAACTATCATCGTAACTATTGCGATCCAAAAATTTAGATGAGTACGAATAATTGTACGTATAGCATCACTCTTTGAGAATAGTAGGGGGAGACAGGTGCCGACCAGTGAGAGAAAAGAGGAGTCATATTTAGTCAAAACTATTAAAAGGTTAGTCACAACCATTCAGGCAAGGCAGATAGATTTTGTGTCTCCGCATGTATGTTTTTCTCTCTCTCACACACTTGCTCGCTGTGTGTGTGATAGAGAAGAAAGTCCTTGACACAATCTTTTTGTTTCTTTCTATTATCAGATAAACTTGTAATTGTGAGAATATTATGGTTAGGTTTTTGCTTTGTCAGTTTATTAACAGGGGCTTAATGTATCGTTAAGAAATTAGGTAGAGTAACCATCAATTATTGTCACTGGCTCGCTGCCCTCGAGGTTTAACCCCCTGCCCCCGCTACCAATCGGTTAACAGCCGATCGCTTTATCACTGAGCTACTGATAGACAATGGGAGATTAAGATCTCATAGAGTTCAACCCCCACCCCCGACGCCAAAAAGGCCATAAATTCCCAAAAAAAAAAAAAAATGAATCTTGGGTCTTTATAAATAGTACTGGCTACTTAAAAACAAAAAAGGAAAGAAAAAAAAAAAAAAAGAAAGGAAAGAAAGAAAAATCGATTCAGAAAGAAAAATTGATCTGGGATGTGAATTCCATTTCTGCTGTTGGATTTTAACCTCTGAAAAAACTTCTAAAAGAGTGGGGGTGGATGGGAGTAGGGTTGGGCAAATCTCCCGAACCGAACCCGACGGTTCTTGTCAAATTAAATACTCGAACGGGTATCTGAATTGAGAATCGACGGGTACGGTTCGGTCCTCGATTCTAGACCAAGCCCCGAAAAATCGAATAAGAACTGAATCTTTCTAAATTATTTTTTTATATTGAGTAAATCAAATTATTTTAATTTCAATTTTTTCTAAACAAATTAATAAATTAACGATTTCTAAATCCAAATTTTTGGCCCAATAATTTGTTTCGTTTCTAATTTTTTTAATTTTTGGCCCAATTACCCATTTTATTGTTTCATTTCTTAGTCAAACAAGATCAAATACACTAAATAACCCTAAACACCAACACTAAAGTGCATAACGTTGTCTTGACTCTCGCACTCACTCTGCAGCCTCGCTAATATTCCAAAACCTATACAATCATTGGTCGACACTGTGACCTCCGATCGAAACTGTGACTTTCGTCAATCGAAACTTTGATCGTAGCGATCATTTGAATAAGGTAGTTTACTAGTCTCTGACATTCCAAAACCATTTAATGTATCATTAGTTGTATTTATATAATGTTGTTATAAATGTTAAAAAATTTAATTATAGTACAGAACCGAACCCGAACGGTTCCATAATTATATTTGGACCCGACGGTTCCATTTACTAGATATTCGAAAATTTCGATTCGGTTCGATTCTCTTTTAAACCGAACCGAACCGAACTGACCCGCGCGCCACGCCTAGATGGGAGGCGGAAATTAGCATCCATCCCCAGATTCCTTTGAGACAAGGACAACCTTGTATATGTAAGATTAGAGTTGGTCGTGATGCTTTAAATTTTACACAATCTACTTCGTATTTACTGCATTAAAGTTAAATTTCCCCAATAAATGTGACTCTTCATAAATTTACCTTCACTGCTGAATTTACTGACAGCTGTGCTCAAACCAAGAAATAATGGAAAGAAGGACTCTCTATAGACTCTCCAATACACAGAGAGCCAATTTTTCAAAAAATAAAATAAAATAAAATAAAATTATAATAGTGATTTTTCTTCAGAAAATGTGTTTAAAAAATAGGAAAAAAGGGCGAAGACTGTAATTGGTAAAAAAAAAAAAATTAGAATATTTTCCTAAATTATATATATAAGAGGAAAAAATTATGGCTCTAAACAAAATTATTTTATTGAAAAAAATATTTAAAAATAAGTTTAACAAAAAATAGGATAAAAAGGGAACATTAATCTTATAAAGACAGTTTTTGCGACGTTGAACCATTTTACCCCATTTTTGTAAGAATGAGGATGAAAAATATAGTTATTACATATCCACACAAAAAATAGAAAATTAAATATGATAGATTGATGTGATAGATAATCGTGCAATTGTTAGATAAGAAATTTGGTTGACCAATTCTGCACGAGAAAGCACTAACGTTGTTTAGTATCTAACATTGGTTAAACTAGAAAACCCCATTCTCATCATTGATTATTGAGCCAGATTGACCGTGTAGTAAATGGTTTTTACGGGGTGGCGGAAATATGCCTGACACACTGATTAAAGCCCTCTCTCTCTCTCTCTCTCTCTCTCTCTCTCAGCACAACGGATTGGACTCAGGCATGTCCAAAAAATTGATCCAACTTGTCTCTCTCTCTCTCTCTCTCTCTCTCTCTCTCACAGCACAACGGATTGGACTCAGGCATGTCCAAAATCTCTCTCTCTCTCTACAAACAGATACCTAGGTTAGTTACCATGGTTTAATGGAAAGGAAAATTGACGCAAATAACACCAAGATACTGTAGTAAAAAAATTCTCTCTAGCAAGTTTCAATTCCCCGCAACTTCCACAGGTAGTTAAAAGCTGGGATGCACCTCAACGAGGATTAGACTTCTAGTAAAATGCACAGTTCTTCACTAACCATAAGATCACTCTTTATGGGCAAAAACTGACTTGTAAGGAGAGAACAGGTCCACGAGTTGTTATAGCAAGTTTAGGAGTTTTTTTATAATGAATGATGGATAAATGAATAGTCTGTGTGATTAAAAGTGATTTAGTCTACTATAAACTGTTTATGAACATCAGCCAAACTTGGGCTAAGTAAAATAAATAAGCTTATAAGCCACCCCAAGCATGCTGTTAATCCCCTTTACAGAAGCATGCCACTGCCTAGTGTGAAGACACTAGTATTTATAACAACTGTGATAATCAGTTTTCAAACAAAATATCAATAAAGTCATTTTAGCTGTAAGGGAGTAAATGACACAAGGGAGAGAACAACAGATAATGAAAGATTTACCCAGAGAACATAATTACAATTATTATCATCTTGGAGTTCTCATTTTCCAGCCTCCTCGGGTATTGAAACTATTGCCGATTATTATGCCTTCTTTGGTTAAACGCCACAGAGGGCACATCAGAAATTCAAGGGCATCTCTTAACTTTTAAGTAGCTAATCTGTATCCACATGTGAACAGTACAGTACAAATTAGAAAGAGCGTCATCAAGTAGCTACAGCTGAAGGACCAAGCATTTTTGAAGGCAGATTGATGGTCTAAACAAATTAATAAATTAACGTTTTCTAAATCCATTTACTAGATATCCGAAAATTTCGATTCGATTCGATTCTCTTTTAAACCGAACCGAATTGACCCGCGCGCCACCCCTAGATGGGAGGCGGAAATTAGCATCCATCCCCAGATTCCTTTGAGACAAGGACAACCTTGTATATGTAAGATTAGAGTTGGTCGTGATGCTTTAAATTTTACACAATCTACTTCGTATTTACTGCATTAAAGTTAAATTTCCCCAATAAATGTGACTCTTCATAAATTTACCTTCACTGCTGAATTTACTGACAGCTGTGCTCAAACCAAGAAATAATGGAAAGAAGGACTCTCTATAGACTCTCCAATACACAGAGAGCCAATTTTTCAAAAAATAAAATAAAATAAAATAAAATTATAATAGTGATTTTTCTTCAGAAAATATGTTTAAAAAATAGGAAAAAAGGGCGAAGACTGTAATTGGTAAAAAAAAAAAATTAGAATATTTTCCTAAATTATATATATAAGAGGAAAAAATTATGGCTCTAAACAAAATTATTTTATTGAAAAAAATATTTAAAAATAAGTTTAACAAAAAATAGGATAAAAAGGGAACATTAATCTTATAAAGACAGTTTTTGCGACGTTGAACCATTTTACCCCATTTTTGTAAGAATGAGGATGAAAAATATAGTTATTACATATCCACACAAAAAATAGAAAATTAAATATGATAGATTGATGTGATAGATAATCGTGCAATTGTTAGATAAGAAATTTGGTTGACCAATTCTGCACGAGAAAGCACTAACGTTGTTTAGTATCTAACATTGGTTAAACTAGAAAACCCCATTCTCATCATTGATTATTGAGCCAGATTGACTGTGTAGTAAATGGTTTTTACGGGGTGGCGGGAATATGCCTGACACACTGATTAAAGCCCTCTCACTCTCTCTCTCTCTCTCTCTCTCTCTCTCAGCACAACGGATTGGACTCAGGCATGTCCAAAAAATTGATCCAACTTGACAAACAGATACCTAGGTTAGTTACCATGGTTTAATGGAAAGGAAAATTGACGCAAATAACACCAAGATACTGTAGTAAAAAAATTCTCTCTAGCAAGTTTCAATTCCCCGCAACTTCCACAGGTAGTTAAAAGCTGGGATGCACCTCAATGAGGAATAGACTTCTAGTAAAATGCACAGTTCTTCACTAACCATAAGATCACTCTTTATGGGCAAAAACTGACTTGTAAGGAGAGAACAGGTCCACGAGTTGTTATAGCAAGTTTAGGAGTTTTTTTATAATGAATGATGGATAAATGAATAGTCTGTGTGATTAAAAGTGATTTAGTCTACTATAAACTGTTTATGAACATCAGCCAAACTTGGGCTAAGTAAAATAAATAAGCTTATAAGCCACCCCAAGCATGCTGTTAATCCCCTTTACAGAAGCATGCCACTGCCTAGTGTGAAGACACTAGTATTTATAACAACTGTGATAATCAGTTTTCAAACAAAATATCAATAAAGTCATTTTAGCTGTAAGGGAGTAAATGACACAAGGGAGAGAACAACAGATAATGAAAGATTTACCCAGAGAACATAATTACAATTATTATCATCTTGGAGTTCTCATTTTCCAGCCTCCTCGGGTATTGAAACTATTGCCGATTATTATGCCTTCTTTGGTTAAACGCCACAGAGGGCACATCAGAAATTCAAGGGCATCTCTTAACTTTTAAGTAGCTAATCTGTATCCACATGTGAACAGTACAGTACAAATTAGAAAGAGCGTCATCAAGTAGCTACAGCTGAAGGACCAAGCATTTTTGAAGGCAGATTGATGGCGCCACCCCCTTTCACGGATATATTAGGACTCTTGGTTGAACTAGCCCTGCTTACAAGATTTGAGTTGAGAAACACAACAATAACTGTGATGTCATCGTGGAAATGCCGACGTATTCCTCGCTCGATTTTCTTCAAGTCGGAGTACCTCATTTCCCTCTTCTTCGCGGCTTCTTGCAATGCTGCTTTCACTAATCTCCTAGCACTCCCCTGCACAACGGAGTTGAACTAAAATTGAAATAACTTCTCGTACTCTAAAGATGAGAGCTGAACTTAAACTAACTTAATTTGATGGTGGGTATTATGCATCACCTATAACTAATTTACATGAATACATCATCACAATCCCTATTGATAGATTTTGCATCAGTAAGAGGACTTGTTATGAATAGTAGGATAAATTTTCGACAACAAAATAATGGTGAATATTTAAATATCAGTGCTATTGACTAATTTTAACAGAAAACTTTAACTATGTCACATGCTACTCTTCAAATTAGAAAGCTATAATATTTGAAGCATTTTATCTTACACTGCATGGATGATTTTGGACTAGATCAACTGCTTCTTGGTTGGTGAGGTGTTCCCACAGGCCATCTGATGCCAATATAATGAACAGATCTTGAGGTAGCAATTGGTGCACAGAAATTGATGGTTCTGAACTCAAAATTGGTCTTTTGAAGGGTTCACACACTCGAAACTTAGCATATAATGGCTCCCTGTTGAATTCAGCCTTTTTTAAATACACATCACCAATTGATCTAGAGATCTGTACGACAACATCAAACCAAGATGTATCACAATTCACGAAGTAAAATCATACAGAACATTATCACATGGCTAAATTACATAGCTGATAGATGTTACCTTTTCAAAAGTGATTTTTCTTTTATTTAGTAGGGATGGTAGGGAGAGATTTCTTTGACTTCTTTGTGCAATTGCAAAATTAATAATATGAATACCAAAGGAATCTCAAAAGAGGGAGGAAAGAGATATTGAAAACATGTATCTTAGTATAGCATTTGACGTCTATGGTCCCATATATCCATAGATAAAGGCAACCAAGAGTTCCGGACACCTGCATTTCATCCCAAGACATCTAAAAGAGTTGCACAACCATCATTGTCAAATTGCTAGAGAATTCAGTAAATATCCCTTGAGCAATTAACTTCAGGAAAAGATGAATGCTCCAAAGACTAAAATATTTGGTGAAATGTGAGAACTCAGATAAATAATTTAACAATTAATCAACCAAAGTCATAGAACCCCACAGCCATCATGCTTGCTTCACCGAGAACGAGTAAATTTTGGTTAAATATCTATATTAACAAAACCGCATCTTTTGAAATTTTAAACTTCTATGCATTAGGCAGTGTTCTAAAAAGCGCACTTAGACACCACCTAAGCTTTGACTAGGCACAAAGCTTGGCCTGCCGCCTAGCCAAGTTTCTCTTTTCTACACCTAGGTTTTGCCTAGGCCCCACTTAGGCTCATAAAAGCTGGAAGCTTGACCTTGCGAGCAATGGGATTTACAAAATCAATAATTGACAGATTTTAATTGACAGATTGAAAATAATTGGCAGGTCGCAGAATCCATAGAGATTAGTTTTCCTTTATTACATCGATAGTACATATTGATAGAGATTAGTTTTCCTTTATTAGCTTTGCCCTAGGGCAGTGTGGGGGATGGCGTAATAATGAGGAAGGCTATCTTTGAGCTTTATTACTGTGCTGGGATCAGTTCGCTTTGATGCTAAGCAAGGTGAGGGTCGCACCCTACTGCTTTTCAGATGCGAATAGGTAGAAGCAGGGTTTCGATCTGGAAGACAAGCTTCCCTCAGATCTTACGCTTGTTATGATAAGAAGGGATGAGACTTTGTAAAAGTTTCTAGATGAGCAGGAAGGGAAAGAGGACCTATTCCCGGCTGGCAGAAGACATTAAGCCGTTAAAGAAGCTTTTACCTTCTAGATGAGCAGGAAGGGCAAGAGGACCTATTCCCGGCTGTTAGAAGACATTAAGCCGCTAAAGAAACTCTTACCTTATAGACCAGATGGGAAGATAAGTGATGAGGAACAGACCTTATGAGGAGTTCTAACCTTCTGAAAAGGATCTTCCACCCATGTCTCTTCATCTTAGATACTCTATTGGAAGTGGAAGAAGGCCACGCTACTAGACTTCCTTAGATAGGCTCTTTTACCCTCTCTATTGGGAACAGCGGCTTAGGGATGTATTTTAGGTAGGTGTGAGCCTTCTCCCTATGTGAAGTGCGTAATTTCTTCTTAATATATCCTATACTTTAGTCGAGAATAAGTTGCATACGAGGGAGGGCCTGTTCTATATGATCGAATACGGTATCTTTCTATTTTCCTTGCAGAGCCAGTACCAGGACAAAGAGAAGCCCTTTTTTCTAAGCCTTTCCATCTATTGGATAAGGAGTATGGATAGGGAAAAGTAGATCAAGCCCTTCAGTCTCTTAGGCGAGGAAGTTCTGCAATGGGAGATCAAGTTTGAGTTGTAAGCCCTTACACTTCTAGTATAGCCATTTTCTAGCCCATCCAATTACAGCGGTTGACTTTGCTCTGATTAAGTCATTGAAAGGTTTATCCTAGGCGAATATGTTCAAGAGTCAAAACCTTTGTACTTCAATCCTGATAGTTACAATTGTTGGAATAGTAGTATCAGTAGTTGTTGTTGGATACCCCTTGTTTGTAGCAATAGGAACCCAATCTTCTTCTAGGATGAGAGGTCAAGGTCTAGGGTTGAGCTTTTCTAGGGTTTTCCTTCCACTTTATTCAGTCTTAGATTCTTTCTGCTTTCTCGGAGGTTGTACTTTGTCATGCTATGCGAGCCTCCGTTGCTGTAGCTTCCTTTTCAACCCCAGCTATTGATTCAGTTTCAGTTGCTTTTCCTGACCTGGGGGTTTGAGTTTGATGGGAAGTTGGAGTCTCCTTCATTCGCCCTGCCCTGCCAATACTAATCTAATTCCTTCTTAAGCACTTTAGCTTTGCTTTAAGCCCTCATTGGACTTTCTGGGAGTTCTCCCATACCATGTAATGCTGCTATTGTAATAGGAATAGATAGGTTCTCCCTTTTAACAATAGAAATAGGAGCTGTTTCCACCTTCCCCTCCTAACAACTCATCTAAGACTAATACTAATATAAGACAAAGCGCATATGCGACATCTATCTTCTTTACCACGTCTCCCAGGAAAAGCCCAGTACATATGGCACAGGATGATTACACACATCCAGGGCGGAGTGGGATCGGGTCTTTGTTGGATTAAGTCTCATGGGTTATTCGAAGATAAATAATAAAAAAAAAAAAGGGAAATGTGGAATTCCTTCCACACTTCCGGAGCGATTTGTCAACAGCCAATGAGCAATCAGCCTAAGTAGGTACCCCTATGGAGGGGCCACCCAACTGCATCCTCAACATAAAGCCTAGTCGAAAGACAGTTCTGCAAGTCGGACTTAACGACAAATCTATTATCTTGTTTCTTTATTTTATCTAAAAACCGCTCTTGCTCGAACTATAAATAGCGTGAATAGTGGAAGAACATGCCGTTCGGAGTAAAGCGGCGGCACTAGAAGGCCGGTGCCTTGATCAAGACCTTTTTTGGCATGAGTTGCTTAGTGTTAAGTGTGTGTGTGTGCGCGCGCGTACGTACGTGTATATGTATGTATCACTCCTAGATTTTCTATATAATGGAATACTCACAAGAATAATGTTATTCATGGTGAAGAATATCGATAATCGCTTTACTTGGCATACATATGACAGTTTGATATATGATGCATAAAGTAATAAAAAACTATCATATTAATGCATCAAATAAAAAATTGTCATATATATGCCACATAGGACGACTACCGGTAATCTTCACTATAAATAGCATTACTCTACTCACAATGTTGAGAGGAATTCAATAAAAATATGTTACTTGTCGCCTAGCCACGTTCTACTTTTTTTAGAACACTGGCCTTAGGTAGTCATATTAGATATTTAGAGTTCGTTACAATAACTTGAAAGTAGAAAGAAAAATTGATCTGGGATGTGAATTCCATTTCTGCTGTTGGATTTTAACCTCTGAAAAAACTTCTAAAAGAGTGGGGGTGGATGGGAGTAGGGTTGGGCAAATCTCCCGAACCGAACCCGACGGTTCTTGTCAAATTAAATACTCGAACGGGTATCTGAATTGAGAATCGACGGGTACGGTTCGGTCCTCGATTCTAGACCAAGCCCCGAAAAATCGAATAAGAACTGAATCTTTCTAAATTATTTTTTTATATTGAGTAAATCAAATTATTTTAATTTCAATTTTTTCTAAACAAATTAATAAATTAACGTTTTCTAAATCCATTTACTAGATATCCGAAAATTTCGATTCGATTCGATTCTCTTTTAAACCGAACCGAATTGACCCGCGCGCCACCCCTAGATGGGAGGCGGAAATTAGCATCCATCCCCAGATTCCTTTGAGACAAGGACAACCTTGTATATGTAAGATTAGAGTTGGTCGTGATGCTTTAAATTTTACACAATCTACTTCGTATTTACTGCATTAAAGTTAAATTTCCCCAATAAATGTGACTCTTCATAAATTTACCTTCACTGCTGAATTTACTGACAGCTGTGCTCAAACCAAGAAATAATGGAAAGAAGGACTCTCTATAGACTCTCCAATACACAGAGAGCCAATTTTTCAAAAAATAAAATAAAATAAAATAAAATTATAATAGTGATTTTTCTTCAGAAAATATGTTTAAAAAATAGGAAAAAAGGGCGAAGACTGTAATTGGTAAAAAAAAAAAATTAGAATATTTTCCTAAATTATATATATAAGAGGAAAAAATTATGGCTCTAAACAAAATTATTTTATTGAAAAAAATATTTAAAAATAAGTTTAACAAAAAATAGGATAAAAAGGGAACATTAATCTTATAAAGACAGTTTTTGCGACGTTGAACCATTTTACCCCATTTTTGTAAGAATGAGGATGAAAAATATAGTTATTACATATCCACACAAAAAATAGAAAATTAAATATGATAGATTGATGTGATAGATAATCGTGCAATTGTTAGATAAGAAATTTGGTTGACCAATTCTGCACGAGAAAGCACTAACGTTGTTTAGTATCTAACATTGGTTAAACTAGAAAACCCCATTCTCATCATTGATTATTGAGCCAGATTGACCGTGTAGTAAATGGTTTTTACGGGGTGGCGGAAATATGCCTGACACACTGATTAAAGCCCTCTCTCTCTCTCTCTCTCTCTCTCTCTCTCAGCACAACGGATTGGACTCAGGCATGTCCAAAAAATTGATCCAACTTGACAAACAGATACCTAGGTTAGTTACCATGGTTTAATGGAAAGGAAAATTGACGCAAATAACACCAAGATACTGTAGTAAAAAAATTCTCTCTAGCAAGTTTCAATTCCCCGCAACTTCCACAGGTAGTTAAAAGCTGAGAAAGCACTAACGTTGTTTAGTATCTAACATTGGTTAAACTAGAAAACCCCATTCTCATCATTGATTATTGAGCCAGATTGACTGTGTAGTAAATGGTTTTTACGGGGTGGCGGGAATATGCCTGACACACTGATTAAAGCCCTCTCTCTCTCTCTCTCTCTCTCTCTCTCTCAGCACAACGGATTGGACTCAGGCATGTCCAAAAAATTGATCCAACTTGACAAACAGATACCTAGGTTAGTTACCATGGTTTAATGGAAAGGAAAATTGACGCAAATAACACCAAGATACTGTAGTAAAAAAATTCTCTCTAGCAAGTTTCAATTCCCCGCAACTTCCACAGGTAGTTAAAAGCTGGGATGCACCTCAATGAGGAATAGACTTCTAGTAAAATGCACAGTTCTTCACTAACCATAAGATCACTCTTTATGGGCAAAAACTGACTTGTAAGGAGAGAACAGGTCCACGAGTTGTTATAGCAAGTTTAGGAGTTTTTTTATAATGAATGATGGATAAATGAATAGTCTGTGTGATTAAAAGTGATTTAGTCTACTATAAACTGTTTATGAACATCAGCCAAACTTGGGCTAAGTAAAATAAATAAGCTTATAAGCCACCCCAAGCATGCTGTTAATCCCCTTTACAGAAGCATGCCACTGCCTAGTGTGAAGACACTAGTATTTATAACAACTGTGATAATCAGTTTTCAAACAAAATATCAATAAAGTCATTTTAGCTGTAAGGGAGTAAATGACACAAGGGAGAGAACAACAGATAATGAAAGATTTACCCAGAGAACATAATTACAATTATTATCATCTTGGAGTTCTCATTTTCCAGCCTCCTCGGGTATTGAAACTATTGCCGATTATTATGCCTTCTTTGGTTAAACGCCACAGAGGGCACATCAGAAATTCAAGGGCATCTCTTAACTTTTAAGTAGCTAATCTGTATCCACATTGAACAGTACAGTACAAATTAGAAAGAGCGTCATCAAGTAGCTACAGCTGAAGGACCAAGCATTTTTGAAGGCAGATTGATGTCGCCACCCCCTTTCACGGATATATTAGGACTCTTGGTTGAACTAGCCCTGCTTACAAGATTTGAGTTGAGAAACACAACAATAACTGTGATGTCATCGTGGAAATGCCGACGTATTCCTCGCTCGATTTTCTTCAAGTCGGAGTACCTCATTTCCCTCTTCTTCGCGGCTTCTTGCAATGCTGCTTTCACTAATCTCCTAGCACTCCCCTGCACAACGGAGTTGAACTAAAATTGAAATAACTTCTCGTACTCTAAAGATGAGAGCTGAACTTAAACTAACTTAATTTGATGGTGGGTATTATGCATCACCTATAACTAATTTACATGAATACATCATCACAATCCCTATTGATAGATTTTGCATCAGTAAGAGGACTTGTTATGAATAGTAGGATAAATTTTCGACAACAAAATAATGGTGAATATTTAAATATCAGTGCTATTGACTAATTTTAACAGAAAACTTTAACTATGTCACATGCTACTCTTCAAATTAGAAAGCTATAATATTTGAAGCATTTTATCTTACACTGCATGGATGATTTTGGACTAGATCAACTGCTTCTTGGTTGGTGAGGTGTTCCCACAGGCCATCTGATGCCAATATGATGAACAGATCTTGAGGTAGCAATTGGTGCACAGAAATTGATGGTTCTGAACTCAAAATTGGTCTTTTGAAGGGTTCACACACTCGAAACTTAGCATATAATGGCTCCCTGTTGAATTCAGCCTTTTTTAAATACACATCACCAATTGATCTAGAGATCTGTACGACAACATCAAACCAAGATGTATCACAATTCACGAAGTAAAATCATACAGAACATTATCACATGGCTAAATTACATAGCTGATAGATGTTACCTTTTCAAAAGTGATTTTTCTTTTATTTAGTAGGGATGGTAGGGAGAGATTTCTTTGACTTCTTTGTGCAATTGCAAAATTAATAATATGAATACCAAAGGAATCTCAAAAGAGGGAGGAAAGAGATATTGAAAACATGTATCTTAGTATAGCATTTGACGTCTATGGTCCCATATATCCATAGATAAAGGCAACCAAGAGTTCCGGACACCTGCATTTCATCCCAAGACATCTAAAAGAGTTGCACAACCATCATTGTCAAATTGCTAGAGAATTCAGTAAATATCCCTTGAGCAATTAACTTCAGGAAAAGATGAATGCTCCAAAGACTAAAATATTTGGTGAAATGTGAGAACTCAGATAAATAATTTAACAATTAATCAACCAAAGTCATAGAACCCCACAGCCATCATGCTTGCTTCACTGAGAACGAGTAAATTTTGGTTAAATATCTATATTAACAAAACCGCATCTTTTGAAATTTTAAACTTCTATGCATTAGGCAGTGTTCTAAAAAGCGCACTTAGACACCACCTAAGCTTTGACTAGGCACAAAGCTTGGCCTGCCGCCTAGCCAAGTTTCTCTTTTCTACACCTAGGTTTTGCCTAGGCCCCACTTAGGCTCATAAAAGCTGGAAGCTTGACCTTGCGAGCAATGGGATTTACAAAATCAATAATTGACAGATTTTAATTGACAGATTGAAAATAATTGGCAGGTCGCAGAATCCATAGAGATTAGTTTTCCTTTATTACATCGATAGTACATATTGATAGAGATTAGTTTTCCTTTATTAGCTTTGCCCTAGGGCAGTGTGGGGGATGGCGTAATAATGAGGAAGGCTATCTTTGAGCTTTATTACTGTGCTGGGATCAGTTCGCTTTGATGCTAAGCAAGGTGAGGGCCGCACCCTACTGCTTTTCAGATGCGAATAGGTAGAAGCAGGGTTTCGATCTGGAAGACAAGCTTCCCTCAGATCTTACGCTTGTTATGATAAGAAGGGATGAGACTTTGTAAAAGTTTCTAGATGAGCAGGAAGGGAAAGAGGACCTATTCCCGGCTGGCAGAAGACATTAAGCCGTTAAAGAAGCTTTTACCTTCTAGATGAGCAGGAAGGGCAAGAGGACCTATTCCCGGCTGTTAGAAGACATTAAGCCGCTAAAGAAACTCTTACCTTATAGACCAGATGGGAAGATAAGTGATGAGGAACAGACCTTATGAGGAGTTCTAACCTTCTGAAAAGGATCTTCCACCCATGTCTCTTCATCTTAGATACTCTATTGGAAGTGGAAGAAGGCCACGCTACTAGACTTCCTTAGATAGGCTCTTTTACCCTCTCTATTGGGAACAGCGGCTTAGGGATGTATTTTAGGTAGGTATGAGCCTTCTCCCTATGTGAAGTGCGTAATTTCTTCTTAATATATCCTATACTTTAGTCGAGAATAAGTTGCATACGAGGGAGGGCCTGTTCTATATGATCGAATACGGTATCTTTCTATTTTCCTTGCAGAGCCAGTACCAGGACAAAGAGAAGCCCTTTTTTCTAAGCCTTTCCATCTATTGGATAAGGAGTATGGATAGGGAAAAGTAGATCAAGCCCTTCAGTCTCTTAGGCGAGGAAGTTCTGCAATGGGGGATCAAGTTTGAGTTGTAAGCCCTTACACTTCTAGTATAGCCAGTTTCTAGCCCATCCAATTACAGCGGTTGACTTTGCTCTGATTAAGTCATTGAAAGGTTTATCCTAGGCGAATATGTTCAAGAGTCAAAACCTTTGTACTTCAATCCTGATAGTTACAATTGTTGGAATAGTAGTATCAGTAGTTGTTGTTGGATACCCCTTGTTTGTAGCAATAGGAACCCAATCTTCTTCTAGGATGAGAGGTCAAGGTCTAGGGTTGAGCTTTTCTAGGGTTTTCCTTCCACTTTATTCAGTCTTAGATTCTTTCTGCTTTCTCGGAGGTTGTACTTTGTCATGCTATGCGAGCCTCCGTTGCTGTAGCTTCCTTTTCAACCCCAGCTATTGATTCAGTTTCAGTTGCTTTTCCTGACCTGGGGGTTTGAGTTTGATGGGAAGTTGGAGTCTCCTTCATTCGCCCTGCCCTGCCAATACTAATCTAATTCCTTCTTAAGCACTTTAGCTTTGCTTTAAGCCCTCATTGGACTTTCTGGGAGTTCTCCCATACCATGTAATGCTGCTATTTAATAGGAATAGATAGGTTCTCCCTTTTAACAATAGAAATAGGAGCTGTTTCCACCTTCCCCTCCTAACAACTCATCTAAGACTAATACTAATATAAGACAAAGCGCATATGCGACATCTATCTTCTTTACCACGTCTCCCAGGAAAAGCCCAGTACATATGGCACAAGATGATTACACACATCCAGGGCGGAGTGGGATCGGGTCTTTGTTGGATTAAGTCTCATGGGTTATTCGAAGATAAATAATAAAAAAAAAAAAGGGAAATGTGGAATTCCTTCCACACTTCCGGAGCGATTTGTCAACAGCCAATGAGCAATCAGCCTAAGTAGGTACCCCTGTGGAGGGGCCACCCAACTGCATCCTCAACATAAAGCCTAGTCGAAAGACAGTTCTGCAAGTCGGACTTAACGACAAATCTATTATCTTGTTTCTTTATTTTATCTAAAAACCGCTCTTGCTCGAACTATAAATAGCGTGAATAGTGGAAGAACATGCCGTTCGGAGTAAAGCGGCGGCACTAGAAGGCCGGTGCCTTGATCAAGACCTTTTTTGGCATGAGTTGCTTAGTGTTAAGTGTGTGTGTGTGCGCGCGCGTACGTACGTGTATATGTATGTATCACTCCTAGATTTTCTATATAATGGAATACTCACAAGAATAATGTTATTCATGGTGAAGAATATCGATAATCGCTTTACTTGGCATACATATGACAGTTTGATATATGATGCATAAAGTAATAAAAAACTATCATATTAATGCATCAAATAAAAAATTGTCATATATATGCCACATAGGACGACTACCGGTAATCTTCACTATAAATAGCATTACTCTACTCACAATGTTGAGAGGAATTCAATAAAAATATGTTACTTGTCGCCTAGCCACGTTCTACTTTTTTTAGAACACTGGCCTTAGGTAGTCATATTAGATATTTAGAGTTCGTTACAATAACTTGAAAGTAGAGAGACTTGAGAAGATCCCTTACAAAGAGTGTTTTAGCCAAAAAAACTCTTTGTGGTTGAGTATGTGCGGTTCATCCTTCTGCATTGAAGTTACTATGTTTAAATATTAGTTGTAAGCAAACATGAGTATCATGATATTCTATTGGACTGAGGATTTCTGAAATACAGCCAATTAGTATATCAACGATGAGTGTACGAAAATGTAGTAGCATCAGTCCATTGAGGCCGACCATTGCACCAGATTTTTTTTATGCAATTGATCAGCCAGGTATCTTCTATTAAGATCTTTCCAAACCTAAGTTGGAAATAATCTCCCTAAAGTCTAGTAAATTCAAAGTTCAAAGTCCAATAATTGAGTTTAACTGGCTGACATGGGGGACTCATGCAGCAGGACCCAACATTAGTAAAATGTAGATAAAATTTACCACAAACAATGAATTCACTGACCTGTATAATGCCCTTTACACGCCACACATTATGCTTTAGAACTACTATTTGTGAGTCATCTGGGTGAAGAGATTGCAGCTCCTGTCTTACAGATTCGATACTCACATTGTGCTCTGTTGAGACCTGAATGGCCAGTACTTCCCCTGTTGCCTTGACACGACTGCCCATAACAGCTCGGGAATCGCCAAGGTTGGCAACATAGAGAGTTCCATTGCAGATAACTCCAACAAGGCAGCATGTGCCAACTGATGCTATCTGTGGTTTTGTGGGCCACTGTTTGCTGACAACTGAGAAAAAACCATCTTCTGTTGCTTGAAATGCCTTTCGAATTACTTCAATCGACATAGTTTGATGCTCGGAGGTGAACCCTGAACAGTTCAAAAAATAGTTTTTTGAGCTCAAAACATGAAATTCTTAAGAGATTGGTTAAATAGCACAGGAATTAGTACAAGTTAGCAATTTAATATTTCTAATCCAACATCCCAAGAAACATTGGCAAACTAGGAACTCAAAACTGGCAAGTAAATACAGTTTTCAGTTAACAATTAATAAGAAATGGGAGAATTTATAAAAAAGATCAGTTTAGACATTCGGAAGCCTTTTTCCTATTATTTTTCTTGGGAGAGTCAAAAATTAAACTGATCAAAGAATAACAGCATTTTTCAAACTAGATAACTTAGGGACTTACTTTTGAGATGTTGGAAGAGATGATCATTGACAAATCGAGAAGCCTCCGGACCACCATGTCCATCGTAAATCCCCAAAAAAGTGCCGTACGGCCCAGAGTCATGCATGCCCAAACTACCTGATTCAATTTGGCTCTGATCCTCAATTAAATTATTAGCTTGAACTACAGCCATTGAAAACTCACCATTAAAATGCTGCCCAGTGTCCTTAAACCACAGAAGCCCCACTTGACGACCACTAGTATCGGAACCCGTGTGAACGTATCCATCTGCTTTTGGCCAAAAACAGGCCCTCAAAAAGTTCATCAACCCCGACAACATACCTCATTTCATTGAAAATACCCTCCGAATTCTCTGCATCTAATGAGGACTGGAGCTAATTCTGTCCTCCTCAACACAAAAGAATATGTGCACTATAAGTCTAGATGAACGTGAATATCAAGCGCAAAACAAACAAAATTAGAACTTGAACAATAACAATCCAACAAATGAAATGCACTAGAAATACATAAAAGTCCAAACTTTATTTTCAATTCAGATGTCAATTTCTATAATACTACCAAGGAACAAGGTCTTCAAATGTGAAACAGATCTTTGACTATAAACAGAAAAATCCACGAACACAACAGCCGCTAAAAACTAAGAAAAGTCAACACAAGAAAAAAGTCAGGTTGACAAAATACACCTTTTCTTCGGCCCACTCTTTGATCAGCCAGTTCTAATTCCAGAAAGATCAATTCCCAACAAAAAGAGAGAAATGGAAAAACAAAAATCCAATTTACTGAAATCACGAAACTCTCGAGTCAAAGTTACATATTTCCCAAATAAAAAAGCATGGGATTGTGGAAATATGTTAAAGATGTTACCTTCAAGAATTGAAAGAAAGAAGCATCTGAAAATGAAGGAGATTGGATCTTGGATCCACCAAATCAAAGAAAAAATTGACCTTGATAGTGTTTTTAAAAGTTCTCCTCTCTTTTCTTTGTGGGCATGAAGATGATGAAGATGATGAGGTGATGGAATATCGAAAAAAACATATAGAGATAGGAAGCTGAGTGGGAATTCTCAAGCAGAAAGCAAATTAGGGTTGGTATGATTGGGCCATCTGAAACAAGGGTCTTTCTCAGCAGACAAACCCCATAAAAACCAACAGTGGAGAAAGCTATAAGCGGACGGGGGGCGTTAAGTTCCACACAGATAAACGTGAAAAAGAGAGGGTAAATGGAAAAGCAGAAATTTGACCAGTACAACGTACGGTATTGAGTGAGAAAATGAGCTGGGTTAAAAGGCAGTTACTCTTTTGGATTTTGATTTGGATTCGGATTCCATTCAAAAAATAAAGACGTTGGTTATTGTATAATTTTTCGTCGAATAATACTATTCATAATTACTTAATGCAATAATCATCTTACGTGATATTATACATGACGATTTGTGATTGTATACATTAATATGTTAATTTTTTTTGTATTATCCATCAATTTACTAATCGTCACGCATGACGATTACGATAGTGAACGACTGTCTTTTTCATTTGATTTTTTGTTTCGATTCTTTGAGAATTACCAAAGTCAATCTCTTCTAACATTTTTTGTCAACTTTTGTTGTCAAGTCAGCCCCATTTGGCCTTATTTAATTTAAAATTTATTTTTTGCCCTCTTCTTATTAACCACACAATCTTTAATAAAATAATATTACATGTAAATCAAAAAAATTATTTCTTAACCACACATTTTTCAAGAAAATACTATCCTAAAAATTAAAAATGAGAAGTGACGGGGGCAAACGGGAGTTATAATGTGACTTGCATATTCCCTTTTAATAAATGGCAAAAAAATAAAAAAATGAAAATTACATAAAAATATATATTAAAGATTATTAAAAGATGTATATTTTTTATTTAATAAAATTAAAAATGCAATTGATTTAATATTTTAGAAAGTAACACGTAACATATCATAAATCAAGTTCTTTGTTTGAACGATGATTTTAATGAAAGGTGCATAATTCTATGCACCTATTAGAACCTAATATTTTGCTAAGAATGCATTTTGGAATAATATGTTGATGGAGAATATTTGATTTAT